GGGGCATTTCGGTAAAATTTGGCTGGAAAACCCAAAAGCGCAAGGCCTAAATTAGCGGGGTTAAAATTACGATGGTTTTTTGGCTGTGCACCGTGCTTACAAAAGTTTGGCTAACTATTACCTTTTTCGGCGATACATTGGTTTTTAGCTAATTTGGCTGGGGAAAAATGTTACAAAAAAACGTCGAATTGCCCCGAAAACGTCGAATTGCCCCGCCGCACTTTACTCCGGAGGACCGTTAAATTGCAGGCGCTTTTAGCCCGCACGAGTAACTGCATTCCCATCATCTGCCTATTTTCCCTCACCACCCCGCTCGGCCATCAGCCAGCTGGCGGCCGGCCCGCGGAAGCGATCCGACAAGCTACCGGGCGCAGCCACCTGAGCCGTCCAATCCATCGTGTTTTCCCGCATGTGTTTCTCGTCATGCCCGCCGACACTTTGGGGCGCGAGGTTGCAGGCGGCCGGCATTGAGGGCTTCCACAACACGCTAGCGGAGGAGTGGCTGACAACGGCACCGAGTCATGTCCATGCGCAGGGGTTGAATTGACAGGCCCATGTTTTGCTAGCCAATTGTTGAGAAGACCATCAGCCATCAGCCAAAGATTATGCGAGGGGAGCCAAAAGAATATTAGAGAGAAGAGAGGCAGGCAAACCAGACGCTAGGTTCGTTCTAAACACACAACCACCAACGCCATACTCTGTACAGACAAAGGATACACTAGTCAAACACATCGGCCGCATAGCGCTTGCTGCGCACCGTCTCGTACCACTCCTGCATCTCCTCCCTGTCCAACTCCACCCCCTCCGACTGGCCCTTGACAACGCCCTGGAAGAAGGCGTGCTTGACCGCCTCGCCCGCCGCCCGCCCCCCGCACACAAACACCTTGGCCCCGGCCTCCCACAGCGACTTTACCTCGCCCGCCTCGCGCCACAACAGCTCCTGCACATGGCGCAGGCCCCGAGCCTCGTCATCGTTGGCCTCGGGCGCCCGGCTGTAGACGCGCCGCACGTCCACCGCCCCGAGCTGCTCCCAGCGGTCCAGCTCGTCGCGGTAGAGGTCGTCGACGGCCGGGTCGCGGCAGCCAAAGAACAGCAGCATGGGCGCCAGCCGCCGGCCCGCGCCCAGCTGTGCCGCCCGCTCCTGCACGAAGCCACGGAACGGCGCCATGCCCGACCCGGCCGCCACGCAGACGACGGGTGTGCGCTCTCCGTCGGCAGGGAGGTGGAACGCCGCATGGGACGGCCGCACCGCCACGTGCACGTGGTCGCCGGGTCCCAGCGACGCCAGGTACGTCGTCGCTATCCCCTGGTGTCTCCTCCCGTCCTCGGCTGTCTCGTCCACGACCGAGTACGTCAGCGTCGCGTGCCGCCCGTCACACAGCGGTGACGACGAGATGGAGTACTGCCGCACCCGTATCGGCGGCAGCAGCGCGAGGAAGGCCCCGAACGGCAGCTCGACGCTCGGGAACCGCTCTAGTAGATCCAGCACGCTAACGCGGCGCGCGCTGACCTCGGCCTGGTATATGTCGCCCGCTAGCTCTAACAGGCGCTCCTTGGTTGTCTCGTCTGCGCCTGCTGCCTCGGCCAGGGCTAGCACGCCGCGCTTGGTGGCGGGCTGGGCGAGCTCGACATACTCGCTCAGCACGCTGTGCGCCGAAACGGCGTGCCCCGTCGGAAGCGTCGTGTGGCCACCGCCCGAACGGATGGTGATGTGCGCGTCGCGCGCGAGCCCAAATCGTCGCATGGCCCGGTCCACACCGGCCGTAGGGTTCAGTGGCAATACGACAAGATAGTCGCCCGCCGTGTACGAGACGCCACTCGGCAGCTGGATCTCTACGTGCCTTTTGGCAGGGGCGCCCGGAGCCGTGAGGAGCTTGGTCGCCGTAACCACGGCCTCGCCCACGTCTTGGCGGAGGCCGGTGGAGCGGGGGTTGGACACTTCAACTGTGAGCTGTGAGCCGGCCACATCGGCCGACTCGAGCGCCGATGCGAGATCCTTGGGCTGGATGTTGTAGCGGGCAGCCAGGGCGGGCCAGAACTTCTCAAACTCCCACGTCTCGAAGTCGAGGAATGTGTTGCCGTCGGCGGCGTCCGTGGCGCCCATGGGCGCCAGGCGCGCACCACCCAGCTCCGCGAGCTTCGTATCGACAAGCGTGGGCACACGGTGGAAGGTGCGGGCCCAGTCGCGGTGGCCACAGCCAAAGACGGCGTAGTTGACGCCCGCCATCTCACCGTCACCCTTGAGGTTCTCCAGCCAAGACACAAAATGCGCCGCGTTGTCGGGCGGCTGGCCCTCGTACGACGCCGTGATGAACACGACAGGGTGGTCGCCCGTCTTGGGCAGCCGCCCGTTGGCGGCGTCCAGGACGTCGATGGCGACGGCGCGGAAACCCTGCACCGCCGCGTCGGCTGCCAACCTGTGGGCGAGAGCCTCGCACGTGCCGCTGTTTGATCCGTAGTAGATGCTCATGGGCTTCATGCCCTCGGCCCCGGCGGGAGTCGGCACGCCGCTGATGGTTGGCATCTGGGACATGGGGCTCGTCGTCAGCTTAGTGGTGCCAACACCGCGCGCGCCGCCGGCCAGGCGGTGCTCCAGCTCCGTAGGCGTCATGCCGTGGCGGAGCATGGCGCGCATGGCGAAGCCGTCGGGCTTGGTTGTCAGCGCCTCCTTGATCTTGAGCTTGTAGTTGGGGTCGTGCGAGACAAAGTTGAAGTTCTGGAACAAAATCGCCATGGCCATAACGGCCTCCTGCCACGCAAAGGCGCGGCCGATGCAGGCCCTCATGCCGTTTCCAAACGGCTTCCAGCAGTTGGGGAACTTGCGCTCGAGGGGCTCGAAGTTCTCGTCGAGCATCCGTTCTGGGATAAACTGTTTGGCGGTCTCGCCCCAGACAACCGGGTCGAGATGTGAGTTTCCGATTACCAGAAATAAGTTGTCGGAGGGCTTGACAAGGTATTTGCCCGCAATGATCTCTTCCTTGAGCGGACGGACGCCGATGCCCGGGATCGTAGGATTCAGTCTTAGGCATTCCTTCAGAGCCTGCACCGGCAGTTAGTACCACACGGGGAGTAGGTCGTCTTGTGAGAAGCAGAAGCAGGCGGTCCACTTACAGCACTGATATACTTGAGCTTCGGAATATGCTCCAGCCGCAGCCGCTCCCTGCCCACGACGCGGTCCACCTCCTCCTGGACCTTGCGGTACGCGTTCGGGCTCCTCAGCAGCTCCACAAACGCAAACGCCAGCATGCCCGAGGTGGTCTCGTGGCCGGCGATGAGAAAGGTGACGAGGTTGTCGATGATGGTCTGCTCGCCCAGTTTGTGGCCCGTCTTGGGGTCGACGCCCTCCATCATGGCCGTCAGCAGGTCCTTGCGCTCGGCCGGGTTCTTCTTGCGGGCCTCGAGCACCTCGCGGGCGGTCCGGCCCAGGGCGGCGCAGTTGCCGGCCCAGGCGCCCTCGGCGCCGGGGGCGAATATGCTGTACATAACCTGGGGGAAGGGCCGGCTGAAACGGTCGCTCGCCTGGCGCAGCCAACTGTTCATGACGGTAATGAAGGGGTGCAGGTCGTCGTGGTAGTACGAGTTGAAGCGGAAGCCCATGGAGCACAGGGCGATGGTGTCGAGCGTCATGCGCGTCAGGTCGTCGGTGGCCGCGATCTGGCTCGACGGCCCGTGGCGCGCCCACTTGAGGGCCAGCTGGGCCGAAACGTCGTACATGTCGTCGAACATGCCCTGGATGGCGACGGGCCCAAAGGCCGGCACCAAGATGCGGTGCGCCGCGCCCCAGACCTCGTCCTTGCCGTTGGCCGTGAAAATGCCGTCCTGCACGCCCTCACGGAGGATGGCGAGCACGTTCCCGCGCGTCGTCTTCTCGAACCGCGTCTCATCGCAGCACTCGTTCACCAGCGCCTGCGTCGAGCAGACTATCTGGGGGTTCCTGCCCGGGATGACCATACGGAATATTTCGCCTGGAAGCGGGCGGTTGAGCAACCGGTTAGCTCAACGTACCGTGTTTGACGAAACGCGGGGTCCTGCTTTGGTAACGATGACGTACCGTGCTTCGCAGCCATCTCGGAGATGGACGCCATAGGGGTGTCGGGATCGAGCAGCGGCACCGACCCGAGCAGAGGGATAGCGCCCAGCGCCGTAGGGATGGGCACCGTCCCATCGGGCCCCTCATCTTTGGAGCCCTTATTCTTGGAGGCTGAGAGAAATGGCATGTTGTGCTGTGGCAGGTGGGTCGTCGCTCTCGGTGTGACAGCGGCTGCTTGAGGAAGAAGGGCGATGGCATGGCGGCTGGGTTGGCGGTGGCAGAGCAGCTTCTTTTATTCCGGCATTTTGTCACCGTGCTCCTTTTGTGGTTCTCTGGCCAAGCCTCACGCCAGGGCCTACTGCCAACGGAGTCGGGCCACTGACCCTCAGCCGTCCCGTCGGCGGAGTCTAGAGTCTAGGGCCATTCCCTTTCAGCGACGGCAGCAGGGCCACCAGCATTACGTGTAGGCTCGGAATTGCTCGCATATTTTAGCGAGACCAGGCTGTTGACAAGCTATCAGGGCTAGCGCTAGACCTAACATAACGCCCCTGTTCGTACCATCGAACCGGTCATTGGACAGCAAACGGAAAGGGCTTTGGATTGAAGGCGCATGGTGTACTTGGCGCGTGGGTGCCGGGACGCTATCATCGTACGTACCCTGGAACCGTTGAAATGGGTCGACCAGACGGGAAGAATAATGGGCCTGAGTCGTGGTTGACGGAGGCACGTGCGTGTCGATGGTCAGCGCTCCGTGTCCGTCGGGCCAACTGGTGTCCGAAGAAGGCGCCGGCGTATCGACGTGGCGGCTGGGCAGGGAGAGTTTGTTGGACCTTGTTCCAGGTTTGGCGTTATGCTGTGCGGTTATGGTTTTAGCCGACACTCTCTCACTGCTGGCCGGAATATTTAGGTAGTGTGTGCTGTCATTTCCCGCCGGGCTTGGAGGCGCAATGCCAAGTTCAGACCATTCCGACCGCAGCGCCTGCAGATTCCCGGGCCCAAGACTCACAACAGCACGGCAGAGCCGAGAAAGCGGAGCGGCCGGTCGACGCCAGATTCGTGCAGGACCGGCGTGCAGATCTCGGCCCCGACTGTCCTGCACGACCGTGTTTGACGTCGATGCGACGTCCGCTTCATGCTTTCTCCACCCCTCCTCACTCTGTCTGGCGGGCGGGAGCAGCGAGAGTGACCTTCACACAGTGCCACTACCTAGGTGCACATTACACATCCCAAGCAGGCCAGACGGTCAGCCCGATGCATAACGGAAACGCGGGCAGCCAATCAGCCGTTGATGATAAGGCACCGCGGCTGCAGGCCTTGGCCTCCACCCTGGGAAGCACCGTGTCGTCGGCGTGGACGGTGGCAGCTCGATTGGAAGAGAGAAGATTGAAACACTCAAGCCCAGTCCGATAGCCTCCAGCCCAGCCATTCGACATTGGTCAATCGAATTGGGTACTTTTTACTTGACGACTTGTCTGTCCTGCCTGTCTTCCCCGCATCGTCTTTTGGCTCAATTTAATTGTCTGCTTTTCCCGATGCGCCCTGCAGGGGCTGGCCGTCAAACCCCAGGCTGGACATTGATGGTCCGTCCCCAGCCCTGCCAGGCAGACACTGCTGCAGGCTGCTGTTGGTGCTCAGCTGCGGGGCTGGTTTTATCTCTGGCTTTCATGTGCAAACAGTCGTTTGTCGCTCTGGGGCCAATCAACTGCCAGGGAGCTGGGTTAAAATCACGCATCTTGATAGGAGAAGAAGTCGTCGTTATTGGAGGGCCTGGCGGTGAACCGGCATTGAATCCGGTTGAGTGGGAGAGTTGGGGGTAGCACAGCACGTTGGCTCTTTTGTGTCTTGTCCATGCCATTCTCGTTTTTTCGTGCGCACTCTTTGTAACTGGCAGCACAGTAGGTACGTACAAGTCTGGTGCTCTATTCCGAAACAGCGTACGTGTTTGCCCCATCATGGAAGGTCCAGTTCATCAAGGCTCGGTCGACATCCCGTCGACATCCCGCGCCTCAGGGTCCCATCTGCAATATTGGCCGGTTCGAGACCGCCCCGCCAGAGATAGCATCCAGACCGGGCGGATCTCTCGTGGTCGTCTGGCCCGGTCTCCCCGCGTGCGTGCCTGCGTGACCTCGGAAACGGTACCTCCAGTCGTTGTCCACGGCCACAAGCGAACACTGTGTCCGTGGCGCTGGCATGGCCCTGCGTCGTGCACAGTGTTGGATCCTGCCTCTGACCTAGCCTTTGATCGCCATTCCAAGACGCCACCGCCATGGTATGGAACAAACCGACGGCACAGTGTGCACCCCCACAGCATCCTTGGGCCGGCTCGGCTGCGGTCATGGATGGCTGAGCACCCCTCTCACATCGTCACTGGCGGGGTGTGCCTGCATCTGGCACCCTCCCGCGGCCAGATAAAAGTCGCGTGGGTTCCCGACTCACGGATCCCTTATCTTTTGTCTTTCTTCCAGCATTGCCTTTTTCTTCCCATTCCTCTCCAACTCTCACCCAAGCAGTCTCATCTTCTACTGCAGTAGAACCAGCAGCATCTAGAATCGCCAGCAATCCCCTCTTCTTTTCCCCAACGCATCGCTATACAAACCGCAATCATGGTCAGTGCCTTTCTCTTCTGCAGCCACCCACCCACCAATCACCAATCGAGCGCCCGTGCTGCACCCATTCCGCCCCTCGCAGCCCCGCACCAGCTGTTGCCGGTGCCGCGCAGCCAACGGGCGGGTCGATTGACATTCGGTTGTATCGGTTGTATCGGTTGCTAACGAGACTTTCTCTGATTGATTCCAGGCTACCAAGAGCGCCAACATTACCTACACGGAGAATCTCCAAAAGTACCTGAGGCTGGACCAGAAGGGTTCCGTCATCGCCGAGTACATCTGGATCGACGCCGAGGGCGGCGTCAGGTCAAAGTCAAGGGCAAGTACACATCGCTCATCTTCCCCACGTCGCTGTTGGTCGTCACGTCACCGTGCATGCCGCCCAGCAACCATCACCATCACGACCCCAAACCCCCCACCACCATGTGATGCCATGGAAGACGGGATCCTCTCTAACTCGACCTCTGCAGACCCTGGAAGGCAAGCAGGGCGGCTTCAAGCCCGACGACCTCCCCACCTGGAACTTTGACGGCTCCTCGACTGGCCAGGCCCCCGGCGACAACTCTGATGTCTACCTCAAGGTTTGTGCATCCATGGTGCCACCCCACCCGCAGCATGTCGGGTAGTATGGGTACATAGTAGCATACTGACGCAATTTCCCCACGCTGCGTGCAGCCTGTCGACGTCTTTCCCGATCCCTTCCGCGGTGGCGAGAACATCCTGGTTTTGGCCGAGTGCTGGAACGCCGATGGCACCCCCAACAAGTTCAACCACAGGCACGAGTGTGCCAAGTTGATGGAGACGCACGCCGAGCACCAGCCGTGGTTCGGCCTGGAGCAAGAATACACCCTCCTGGACCTCAACGACCGCCCGTTCGGATGGCCCGAAAATGGCTTCCCCGCACCCCAGGGCCCTTACTACTGCGGCGTGGGTACCGGCAAAGTTGTGCAGCGCGACATCGTTGAGGCACATTACAAGGCGTGTCTCTTTGCTGGTGTCAAGATCTCGGGTACCAATGCCGAGGTCATGCCCGCCCAGTGGGAGTTCCAAGTTGGCCCATGTGAAGGCATCGAGATGGGCGACCACCTATGGATCGCCCGCTTCCTGCTCCACCGCGTCGCCGAGGAGTTTGGTGCCAAGGTGTCTGTTGACCCTAAGCCCATCCCCGGTGATTGGAACGGCGCCGGTCTGCACAGCAACTTTTCCACCAAGGAAATGCGTGTTGAGGGCGGTATGAAGCATATCGAAGCTGCTATTAAGAAGCTCGAGGGCCGTCACAAGGAGCATATCGCTGTGTACGGCGAAGGCAACGAGAAGAGGTTGACGGGCAGGCACGAGACGGGCGCCATCGATTCCTTTAGCTATGGCGTTGCCAACCGCGGCGCGTCCATCAGGATTCCGCGCGAGTGTGCCGCCAAGGGATACGGCTACTTCGAGGATCGCCGGCCGGCGTCCAACGCAGACCCCTACCAGATCACGGGCATCATCATGGAGACGTGCTTTGGCGAGGCGCAGTAGAGGGTCTAGCAGCTCCTTCTAGTTTTCTTCCACATCTCTGGCGTTTGTTTCCGTTCCCTTTTACAGATTCGACCGTGACACCACCGCAGTCCGGGGTCACTATTAGATCTACATATTTTTGAACCAATACTACCATTCAAGTATATGCTACCAATCCCCTTCATCCGGGTGCTACAGAATTGGTGGGCAACTCGGCTCTTACTGTATGCTCACCTGTTGTGCTGACCTGCCGTGACACCAGTCGTTCCTTTGTCTACGTCATTTGTGGGATGGTGCTGCTTTCGTCTCTTTCTGTGCTGGTTGGCGAGCAGACAAGGGAGAGACTGGGCCCAGTCATCGCCAACGAAGAAAGAGCGACAAAACTGCCTTGCCAAAGTCAGGCCGGACGTGAAAGGGAAAGAGGCGAAACCTCCACGCGTCCTTACTCTACACAGACGAATGATGGGCAGAGGCGCAAGCCTGGCTGACGTAGCACGCGACCTCATAGGCTTCCTCATGGTCTTTTTTTTCTCTGGCCCGCCAGCCCCTGTCGGGCACATCCGCAGGTCCGGGCTTTCCCTTTTGGTCAGGCGATCGACCGGCAGTTGATGGCGCGCCCGCCAAGGGCACCGGGTACGTCAACGCCAAGGTCGGAAGTGACGATTGAAATGTCAGAGGAGGTGCTGAAACACGATGCAAGGGGCAGGACCACAGAGAAGCAGCTTGGCGTTGTGTAAAAGCTGAATGCGGCGGCCCAATCACTTTATGTTTCCCGTCTGCCGTCAAGGGTGCCACTGCCCTTTCCCACCCGCTTTTTGTGGCTGAGCATTGGTGACGATGCCATGTCGTGCCAGGGATGGCCCCCGTTCAAAGTTTGAAATCAAGGCCGCAATTTTTCTGGAAGCCGGGCCTTTTTTTTTTCTTTCTCGGCCCAGACACGACGACAGCTGCTGGCGATGTAGCCAGCCTTGCGGGACGACGCGTGGAGTTGCGCCTCGTTCGCTGATACCGTGGACAGACACTTGGGCGTCCATCAGACATCGCGAACGCCCAAGGACCCGTGCCAAGGATGGGCTTCTTTGTTGTTATTCTCTCCTCTTCTTCGACATTCCACAGTGAATGAATCGGATGGGATCTTCTCGGTAGAGGACGATGGCCCCTTTCATGCACGCAGCGATGGCCCCTGCATCTGATTTTCGTCGGCCCCCTCCACCGCCACTTCTTGACTCTCACGGGGCTACATCGATCGACAACGCGGGGCGCGCGGCGATCGCCAGCCAGAAAGGGTTACGCGTTTGCAAAGTGCCGGTCAGCCAAGGCGTCGATTGACTGGAGAGCCGGAGAGACTGGGGAGAGAAGGCCAGGACAGCCCGAGAAAGAAGCTTCTGTTTAACGTAACGAAGGCCAGCGCATAGAGGTTCCCATCATGCCCCCCCTTTTTTTTTCCCTGTCGCCGCCGTTGCATCTCTCTGCCTCTTCGGGACTTGCCAGCCCTCGAGCAGGGGCGGCGGGTGGCTCGCTGGCGGCGGCCTCCTCCACCCATAGACTTGCTGCCTTGTCGGGCTATCTTTTCAGCATCGCGCTGCCGCCCAATGTCAAGACCACTCAACCACGGCCTGGTGGAGTCTTGGCTGGACTGCCAAGACCACCCGGAGTATTTATGAGGCTTGTCTTCCCCAAGCTCCCGGCCGTCTTGGAGGAGAGAAGATATCGCCAGCCTGACCTTGCTTCCTCTATTGGAGTTCACCTCGTCCCTCCCCGCTGCCCTTTCTGATCACCGTCCATAAGCTTTCAGCATCTCCCAGCCCCGAGACACACAGGCAAAATCCCTAGCCACGATGCACTTCCACAATACTGTCCTTGTCGTCCTGGCCGGCATGGCCCCCCTGCTGGCCCGGGCCGACGACGACCTGGAGCTGAGCCGTGACGACATCCCGCAGCAGTGCCGCGGCATCTGCGAGCCCGTCAAGCAGCTAACCGATATCTGCGACGTCGATGACGACCGCATCAAGGACGACCGCGTCGAGGAGCTGCTCAACCTCCAGTGCGTCTGCACTAACCGCAGCTTCAACGTCGCACGCTTCGCGGCGCTCTGCCAGAGCTGCATGACGCAGAGCAACCCGCGCGACAGGGACGACCTGAAGGGTAAGAAGACGCCGACCCTCCCATGCTGGTAGCAGTTGTAGTTTGTATCGTGGCTGTCGGCCTAACACGTGCTCTTCTCTCCAGACATCGACAAGATCATGCGCAAGTGCGGCTTCGCGGCCCAGAACTACTCGCCCAGCCAGTCCAACGACGCAAACGGCATCAACGTGTCGGCCGTCAAGCCCACGGCCGCCGGTCAGCTGACGACGACGTACGTGCCCGGCTCGGCCGCCACCCCGCCGCCCGCCAGCGGCACCACTGGCGGCGGAAAACCTACAACCACCGGCCCCGCGAGCGGCAGCGGCGGCCGGCAGTCGTCCGCGACGCCGGGGTCGGCGACGGCCGCGGGTGGCAACGGCAACCCCATCCCCGGTAGCGCGACGTCGGCTGCCATCCCCGTGATTGGCATGGCTATCGCGGCCGTTCTTGGGTCCGTGCTCATGCTGTGAGTGGGGACGCTCGGATGTGGATACGACGCATGACGATGGCTTAGTGTTTCTACTGGGTGGTTTTTGATATTTGATACTGTTTGTTTTTGGCGGGAAAGTGATGATAGTAAATAGTGTGTTTAGCTGCAATGCCATCCCTCGTCCTAGTGTTCCTGTAGTGAGTGAGTGTCATTTGATATCCAACCAACAGCCACAGCTTAAGCATCCTTGCCGCCGGCCCGGGGGGGGGGGGGTGGGGGG